TCTATCTATCTATCTATCTATCTATCTATCTATCTATCTATCTATTCTATCTATCTATCTATCTATCTATCTATCTATCTATCTATCTATCTATCTATCTATCTATGTGTCTGTCTGTCTGTCTGTCTGTCTGTCTGTCTGTCTGTCTGTCTGTCTGTCTGTCTATCTATCTATCTATCTATCTATCTATCTATCTATCTATCTATCTATCTATCTATCTATCTATCTATCTACTGTATCTTTCTACAGTATCTATCTATCTACTGTATCTATCTACAGTATCTATCTATCTACAGTATCAATCTATCTATCTATCTATCTATCTATCTATCTATCTATCTGTCTGTCTGTCTGTCTGTCTGTCTGTCTGTCTGTCTGTCTGTCTGTCTGTCTGTCTGTCTGTCTGTCTGTCTATCTATCTATCTATCTATCTATCTATCTATCTATCTATCTAGAGCTTTTTAGGCAAAATAAGGAAAATACAAGTGCCATGCTCTATGAGACCAATGGATGTGGAAGATTGCCGGAAGGTCCAGTGAAGATCTGATTTTTAGTTTTGAGAGTCAGGTCATTTTGGCTTCATGCGCCACTGAGCAACCTTCTTACAGGGCCCTGCCTCCAACTGTATCCAGTTCTCTTTCTACATCCATGATTTCTTCCCTCACAGCTCCAAAAAGCGATTTCGAATACGAGTAGCGACCAAGTTTTCTGCAAGTTTCTAACTTAGTCTGTGTTTCTGCGTGCAGGGCATCCTCGGGTCAGGTTTTGCCCTGAAAGTACAGGAGCAGCACCGCCAGAAGCACTTTGAGAAGAGGAGGAACCCAGCTGCCAGCCTCATCCAGGTACACACACACACACACACACACACACACACACACACACACACACACACACACACACACACACACACACACACACACACACACACACACCACACACACAGACAAAAGACACATTTCGCCTCTACTGAATTGTGTTTCTAGCAGAGTAGGACCAGTGTCAAGCATGTGTGTGTTTTCATCCTGTCTACTGTCTCTGAGCCTTTCACTGTGCGTCTGAATAAAAGCATGAGTGTGTTGGCAATGTGTTGGAGTGTGTGTGTGTATGGGTGGTCTCACCATCTCTCCTATCACATTGAAGGTGATTCATTTAGAGTGTGCTTAATATGTGGGTATGTGTGTATGTATGTATGCGTATGTGTGTGTGTTTGTGTGTGTTTTGCCCTCCTCTGGGCTGTCGGTGTGTGTAGCTGTTGATGACTAACGGTGTGCGAGGCACGCTGTCGTCTCTCAGGTCCAACAGCAACACACACGGCTGGGTTTTATGAGCCGTTTCCATGGCGATCAGTCCCCGGGCAGACGCTGCTGCAAGCCGTCAGTCATTGTAACAGACAAGACCAGCTGTATTTCTTTCTAATGAACAGTAAATAGTGTGTGTGTGTGTGTGTGTGTGTGTGTGTGTGTGTGTGTGTGTGTGTGTGTGTGTGTGTGTGTGTGTGTGTGTCAATGTGTGTAATTGCATGTCATCTTGGGTCTTTTTGTGTGTGTGTGTGTGTGTGTGTGTGTGTGTGTGTGTGTGTGTGTGTGTGTGTGTGTGTGTGTGTGTGTGTGTGTGTGTGTGTGTGTGTGGTGTGTGTGTGTAATTGCATGTCATCTTGGGTGTGTGTGTGTGTGGTGTGTGTGTGTGTGTGTGTGTGTGTGTGTGTGTGTGTGTGTGTGTGTGTGTGTGTGTGTGTGTGTGTTTTCTACCTTTCTACTTAATGAACTATCTTGACCTTACATATTTACAATCTGAGCCTTATTAATTTAGATCTGGTCATCATTTCATTATCTATGATATTATGCAACTAATATTATTGTCTAAATGTTTAAATATGGGAATATAGTAACTAGTGTACCAGCTGTTAGACACAGCTTCAGCAAAGAAATCCTCTAGCAAGCAATACGAGCAATCATGTCCAAAATCCCAGTTTTCATAACTAAATATTTGGAAATGGAAATACCCCTCAAAATCTTACAATCTAATATTACATTAATATACTAATTAAGGGGATTTTATGTGAAAGCCACTATGTAACGTGTACATTTTGAAATGTTATCATCATTTTCTTATTATCATCAATATTAATCAGGGGATATAACAGCATTTGTTTAAAGTCTGATTGTCTCTCCACATGTTGCTGCTTCACCAGATCTCAGTATGAAATCAGGGAGATATTGTCATACATATTTAAGTTTATGATTAAAAAAAAAACACGACATCATTGTGTCTGTCCTCCCTGTTAGAAATACATATCAGTTTATATGCTCGTCAAAGAGCAGTTGGAGTCCAATTGATCCTAAATAACCCACTAAGGGAGCGATTAATCCTGAGTGTGTTTATCTTGTTTCTGTCTTATTGGCTTTGCATCAAGCACCTGGTCACTGTCTGTTGTCTGCCAAGCTCATAACATTTTCCTCAACAGGTAAAAGGAAACTTGGAAGCGGCTTTGATGTGTTAAATATGTTGATGACATTCTGTCCGTCACCTCACTCCCCCATCTCACACAGCTCCCCCTGCTTTAACTCACTGTGTGTGTGTGTGTTGTGTGTGTCTGTCTGTGTGCAAAACAGGATATTACCACCGACTGCAGGCCACAGAAGCTGGTCGATTCAAAATGTCACCTGCTGCAATAATTATTTAACAGTATTTTTGAAAAAATACAGTCTCTCTAAATTTTAAAGTAGTCTTGTGAGTATCATAAAAGCCTACATTTGACCAGCATTTGGCACGTGGCCGGTGTTGATTTCCCTGTCTTTGTAAAGTGTTTATTTAAATCTTTTCTAGTCATGTCACAAATCTTGTAACACGGCTGGCACCATCTACAAGGTTCAGTAAGTGGCCGCAAGTAAATAATGCTTGAAGAGGAAAAGCAAACAACTTGTAAAAGATGATTGTAGTAGATGAAGGTCATTTCTGCATTTGTTTCCAACTGAGGATTGCTAATGTGCCCACATTTTACATTCCACATCTGCGAGATGTTTTGGACTGCTTTACTTCACTTTAGCTAGAATTAAGACTTCAATACATTGGAGTTGCATCTCGCATTCAGTAAAAAAAAAAAAGTTGTTTGCTAGATAACTGGATCATAAATGAATCAATATTACCTAGTTATATTACCTTGTGTTACCTTAGTCGGTAAAAAGATAGAACATTAAAGGTGGGGTAGGTAATTTTGGAGAAACCAACTCGAGTGCGCTAAAATTTTAAAATACACAGCCGGAAAAAATCTGCCACTTCCTTACAGAGCCCCTCCTCCAACACACACGAACGTGCACATGACCAATGAGGGCACGAGATAAGTTTGTGCACGAGATGGAAGGCTGACAGGCAGGTAGGCCATCCAGTTATTTTAGCCGGGCCGGCTGGTCGTGCTTTTTACAGTACCACGGCTTCCACAGATGACATTTTTTTATGGATTTTTTGTCAAAGCATTTAAGATATTCATTGCTATCGGGATGTTAAGAGCATTCCATGGAATATAACAAAAAGTGTATCTCAAGCCGGTTTCTCAAACGTACCTACCCCACCTTTAACAGACTTTTGTTTAAATACAAATATTCAAGATTATTACATTAACTAAAATAAATGCTGACAGATGTACTTTTAGATTAAGTCCAAATTGCAAGACCGCCTTCCTATACACTTATTTTAACTCTTTGTGGCCATACTAAGGACTTCAAACATGGCTGCCAGCTGGTTACATCCCTTGTGTTTGTTACATGTTCACACATACCTCAGTCTCTTTCTCCTCACTATGTTTGTGCCATTTCCCCTCGGTGTCTTTGTCGTGTGTGTGTGTGTGTGTGTGTGTGTGTGTGTGTGTGTGTGTGTGTGTGTGTGTGTGTGTGTGTGTGTGTGTGTGTGTGTGTGTGTGTGTGTGTGTGTGTGTGTGTGTGTGTGTGTGTGTGTGTGTGTGTGTGTGTGTGTGTTGGTGGTGCTGTGTGTGTGTGTGTGTGTGTAGTGTGTGTTGTGTGTCGGGTGGGTGTGATGTTGGTGTGTGTTGTGTTGTGTGTAGATGTGTGTGTGTGTGTGTGTACATCTGAATGTGTTGTGTGTGTGTGTGTGTCCTGTCCATCTTTGCTCCCCCCCCCCCACCCAGGCGGCTTGGCGTCTGCACTCCACCGATGGCACTCGTCCCAGCCTCAGAGCCACCTGGCACCACTACCAAAGCGCCCTCTCCCCCCCCAGGCATGTATCCCCACCACCAGCACCTCCACCAGCACCTCAACCTCCACCTCCATCTCCGCCCTCCCCACCTCCCTGCGAGAACCCCCAACCAAAATGCATCAAAACTACCCAAAAAAAACTAATCATTCTCTTATTTTTCTCCTTTCTCTCTTTCCTTTTCTCACTTCCTACCCAACTTATACGTTTCCCTCCCTCTACCCGTGTTTCCCTCCCTCACCTAATTGTTTTATTCATCGTTATTTTATTTATCTTTTCGACTCTGCACGTAGTGTGTCTGGCGTAGTTATGCTGCTGATGAGAACTCGGTTTCCATTGCTACCTGGAAGCCTCATTTGAAGGCGTTGCATACCTGCAGCCCCGCAAAGTAGGTAACAACTTACAGACTTACAAACATGGCCGCTGCCGCTCAGCCCCTCGCCTCCTCTCTGCTCCTTCACCTCCGTCTGCTTCTCTCCATCGATGTGGCTTCAACTCTCACTCTACTGTACGACTGACCGCATTGCAACCTTTCTTTCATAAGCTGATCTTTAGCAACCTTTTATTTCCAACCAGGCATGTTCCACCTTTTTAACATTCACATTAGAAATATTTAGACACATTTCTTTAATTGTATTATTATTGAAAATGCTCAGCCACGTTTCTTTGTTTACTTTAAAGTGGACACATTTCATTATTTGGACATTTGACACACATATGGCATCTTATTTATTCACATTTTGTCTGGATTCAAGTTAATCAAATACTGTGAGTTTGTGATTTAGCTAGGGTTGAGCTACACCAAAATTAATGTATGTTATATGAGGTCAATAGATCACTAATATTTACAATAAAGCATATTACTTTTCCTGCTTTCACACACTTATACAGTACACAAAACACACGTAGTTCCTCTCTTTCTGATTTCCATATCTGTGTTTCAACGCCTTACTGTGCATGGCCATAGCTTGCATGTTCTTGTAAATATTTACCTTCCATTGAATTAAAGTGTCGTTGTTTTTCTTTCCTTTTGGCTTGAAGCGGCCCGTATCCATTAGCTGAAACGTCTGTACTATATAGTGCTATTTTTAATCAGCTGGAATACTGATTTTTCTCCCTTTGTCTCCTCTTTGTCCCACTAACCCTTAAAGGAAAGAGCAGGGCGAGACTTCCTACAGGTTTGTACGACTCAGCTTATGTTACAAAAACATTCAACATGTGATACGACTATAATCAAATGAAATGCGTGATAATGTTTTGTCACAACATCTTTGAAACTACTCCCATCTATTTAGCAGGCTAGTACATTCAATTTCTGATTAAGAATGAAAAGATATGGTTTCTCCTAGGTCTCCTATAAGAATAAATGATGAATGTATTAGGTGATAGTGAATTAATTGGAGGTTCTGATCGCCATCAAAAGGTTGCAATATATGTATTTGTTGGTCTCTTGGCTTATTGGTTGTTTGATCTACTAAATGGCTGAACACAAATGACTGAATATGAACTAAATTTAACGTTTTACCATAAATCCTTAGTAAGGACATTGTGCCGATGTTAAACCTTTTATTTGATCTTTATTGGTATGACTTAACATCGTTTTGAGGATCTTAAAACCCAGAATTTGAAGAGAAAATAAACAACAGAAACATTCAAACTGAGAGAAGATACACTGCAGTGCTATGACATACATAATAAAGGGATAATTAGAACATGCATCAATATTATTGTTGACTATTGAGAAATAAGAAGGTTTTATCTTCCACGTCAGATCAACATTTATTTAATATTTAAGTCACATTTTATATTACCTCTAGTACAGTAAATTGTGTTGAGTTGAGAAAAGACAGGCTGGGGGATATACAGTTAAAGAGGCAGTTTTGTTTTACATCATACAGAGATGTACTGAGGCTATAAATCAAATTAAGTACTACAATGTCTATTTGAAATGACCTCTTCCGAAAATACAATCTGTTGCCTTTCCCAGATTTATTCATGCTTCTCTCATTTTATATTCCTACATCAATTTTCATCTTTTTATTTACTCCATCTCTGTTTTTGTCTCTCCTTTCACTACTGTTTCCTCTCTGCACTTGACTTCCAGGCAGGGAAGGGTGTGTGTGTGTGTGTGCGGTGTGTGTGTGTGTATGCATGCACACACGCCTTCAAAGACAGGAGTCTGTACCATGTCTGTACCATGACGCACTTTTTCCATTGGGATGGTATTTATATAACTCATCAAACACAAGTCTACGAGAGACAGACGAGAGTTGAAAAAGGGGGGGGGAGGAGAAGGGAAAAAAACAGAGAGAGATTTGTGAGTTTAATTATGCTAGTATAGTTTTTACAGCGCAGCGCTTCTTTGGCAACATTTGGGAGCCTTATATTGAGCCAGCAGCGTTTTAGGCATTTCAACTTAAGACACACACACACATAAAAAAAAAAGTTTATACTCTAAGTCAAACACACAAACAAATGTGCTTTTTATCCTCAAACACAACAACATTTAATTAGGCTTTGTGCATCTACTGCAGCATTATCCTCCAGAAATCCCTCTGTTATAAGGGCTGCCTTTAATTACACTTTCCTTTCTTAGAACATTTTGTGACGACAAGTCCAATTTGAACTAGTGAAATCGTAATTATGTGCTCTTTTATGACAATATTTATTTTCTGTGTGTTCCCCTCTAAAGAGAGAACACACACCACTGTGTGTTATTAGTGGTTTTACAGAGTGCCGGCTGCTCGGCGGTGAACGGCTGGTGGTTCTCGTTTAAGCAGACTTGTAAACACCAGCAGTGGTAAACATGAGCCGTACCACAAAGTGCTGCAGTGGACATCATGCTGAGTGTGTGAGGGCTGCGTATTGGCAGAAAGAGGCAACAGGAAAGAAAGGATAATTGGTGGTTAATCGTCATTTTATGTGTGTAGGCAGGTGTGTCTGCATTCTGAGTGTTTGTTCGTACTACTACAGTTCATTCACATTATACATACTTTTTCTTTCAAATGAAACTCTTGACTACTATCCGTCAGGTTACATTTGTGTTAGACAAGTAGCTGACTTCTCCAGCTGTGTTATGGGGTAATAAAAAAAGCTTTATTACAAATGATGCTGCACTTAGGTTGTTTGTGCTCATAATAGTGCTGTTTAGGCAATAACAACGCTCAAATAGCAGCTTTGACACCAAACTGAGCCACATTACAATAAACTGGCAAACACCAGAGTTCATTTAAACCCCAACTTGAAAGTGAAAACAGTCTGTTTTTTCAAGATGATATTTACGTTTTGAAGAGCACAACACTGCATGCACACAGTCAGAACGTTTCACACAACATGTCACAAAATAATCATTGTAACCATACATGATTTTTAAGGTGACTTTGATTACAGTTGGAGAGCTTGTCCCTGGTTGGATTATAAAGGGGCCCTATGATGCTCATTGTCAGGTTCATATGTAGTGTCTCTACTGGGACATGTCTCCATGCTTTAATGTTCAAAAAGCTCTTTATTGTCCTCGTACTGCCTGTGCTGCAGCCCCTCTTTTCACCCTCTGTCTGAAACCAGAGCCCAGTCTGCTCTGATTGGTTAGCTGGCCGGCTCTGTTGTGATTTGTCAACCGCTTAGAGATGTCCTGCCCCTTATCCTCACGTACAAAGTTTTGGAGCACTATCCAATAGAACTGCAGTTCAATCAGGAGAGACGGTTTTGATGTAAGAATACATATTTATTGCCGAGATACACAAATGAATGTAATGGTGATTTTGGCGATTAGGCCCCGTTGTGCAGGAAGTATCATTCGGGAGGGTAGAACCGATACGATGAAACCCCCCTGGGGTCTAGACACTGGTGGTGGTGAATGGATAGTTGGGTTCGGTCTGAAGGGGAGGGGCTTAGCTTGACCCTGGATTCAGAGGGACGGGAGGTGAAAAGGGGGGGGAGGAGGGTTGCGTTGAGTCACCTGAAATGACAGCTGTCAGAGGGGGGAGCAGATTTAAAAGATTTGATAGGATAGCTGTGATAGGCTCTTGGGAATAGAGCGAAGTGATTGGTTAAGGAGAGAGAGTAGTTAGATGGAAATAGTAACTGAAGAGTAAAGACGGTCTTCCTGGTTGAACTTACGCTGAGCTTCCTTTGTTACGCAGTGATATCACTATATTATGGAAGTAAACAAAGGAGTGTGTGAGAGAGAAACTCTTTGCAGACCATTGACATGCAAAGAAACCTTTATAACGCTCTACAGGAAAGGTAGAACCCCAAAAAGCATAATAGGGCCCCGATAACTGAAGCATGTGGTTAGAGTTCAGTCAGATTTGTTGGGAAATGTAGATTGTAAATGTTCAGAGTAATGCATTCAAACGTTCTGTAGCTCTTGATTGATGACACTAGTATGATGTGTGTCATGAATTCACGTCGTAAATATATTTATCATCAGGGAGTTCAGGGGGTAACTCTCCACTACATCCCTGTTTACCCACTGTCTCCTCTGATTCGTCCCCTACCTTTCCTCTGAGTATTTACTTTGCACCAATATTGACAGCAGAGAATTTTCTCTTCTCCTTTGTCTGCTCTTGTAATATCCTACTCCTTGTATTTTTCCATTCCCTTCTCCATCCTCCTCTAAGATATAGGGGGCTCTTCAGAAGGTACAATCGGAAATTTAGGAGGTACCCACAGTGCTACCCAGCATCCTCTCTGCTCGGCCCTTAGCCCAATTACCTGTGCTAATGACTGACTAATAGCATGGAGGACATCAAAGGAAACAACTTTCTTTTTACCTCAATACCTTTTTAGGAGTTTTATTTTGATGGTAAATGCTGCCTGCTGCTTGTCGAATGCAAACAAGATCTTGTTTTGAGATAGATGAGGACAAAGATAATAAAAAGGTTTGTTGTTGAGATAAACCAAATTAATAAAGTAGATATTATGTTCCGTCAACAGATTGCATGTTAGGCCCCTATCATCTAAAAACCTCTTAGTAGATAGGCATTGTGGGATGTTGCTTGTCACGATCCTTTCATAATGTCTCCCTCTAAAAGAGAACATGGCTACCAATGTATTGATTACAAATAATATTTAGTTCTGCCTTGAACACAGGAGAACATGTATTGCCATGTGCTGTGAAGTGTTGAGGACGTTTCCACACAAGTCTGGGACAGAAAATCTTAATATATATCTTCCCAAAGTCTTTATATGTTTTATAAAATCCAATCTAAAACAACGTATGTTAAAGTAATTGATCAAAACACTGAGGTTCATGAGAAACACTGACTTTTGGGACTATTTCGATTTTTTGAAATGTTGGTATTGAAAATGTATTTGAACCCTGCATCTTTCTCAATGATCTGCTGCATTGCCTGCTGGTCTATTTGCCCTAGCAACAATATATTTGATTGGGTTCGATTGATTGAGGACTTTCTGCATCCCCACTACACCTTATTAAGTTACTATTGATCTAAACTACATGTGGATTACAGCTTTTGCTTCTTATGCAGCTGATATTATGTGCAATCTATTTAAATTGACAAAAGACGGAACACTCCGAGCACTCTCTGGAAAGGGAGAAATAAAACATGAAATTGTCTATGAAGACACTAGTCTCAAAATTAATTTGGGTTGACAATTTATTAATGTCCCCATGCTTCACATATCACTTTAGAAAATCTCATTAACTCTGTTGTGAAAAGTGAACACACAGTACATAAATAGATTATCAGCTGATCGGCTAAGGATTGAAGCACTGAGGGTTTTTCATTTGGTTGCTTGGCGGGTATTCTGGCTGTTTTGGGCATGAATGAATGATGTTTGGGCTGAAAGGAAAATCCAGAACGTTGCCCTTTGTCTGAACTTTTCTTACTTTTGAGGACAAAAATGTTGACAGCATCTCTTTCCTCTCTACCAACCCCTGAACCTTTCCACTCACCCTCTTACTCTACCAATTCTATCATATACTCACTTACCCCAATTTCCCTCATCTTCTCCCCCTCTCTTGCCCCATCCATCCTCATCCCAAAATATGTTATGGTCTTCTCTTTCTCTTCCCTCATTCTCTCCTTCTCCCCTCTTTTCCTTCCTCCCTCCCTGCAGTCAGAAGTTGAGTTTTAAGGAGCGGGTCCGTCTGGCGAGTCCTCGGGGTCAGAGCATGAAGAGCAGGCAGACGTCCGTTAGCGAACGCCAGCGCTCTTCCCCCGGTAACGAGGTGGTGGGCGGGGCCGATCTGATGGGAGGAAGCCCCGCCAAGGTGCAGAAGAGCTGGAGCTTCAACGATCGGACCCGGTTCAGACCCTCGCTGAGGCTGAAGAGCCAGACCCGCACCGCTGTCCCTGACGGTGAGCGGGACTGTGTGTCTATTTCCATATTACTGTTAATGGCACCAAACCAACCATCATCTAACAAATTAACTTTTGATTTATTCCACAAATATATAACATACATGGAGAAGTACATATCACAAATCACACCCGCCTCAGTTTATAGTTCACTCAAAGGTACACGTTATTGCTCACATACATACACATACATACATACATACATACATACATACATACATACATACATACATACATACATACATACATACATACATACATACATACATACACACACACATACACACACACACACACACATACATACATACATACATACATACATACATACATACATACATACATACATACATACATACATACATACATACACACACACATACATACATACATACATACATACATACATACATACATACATACATACATACATACATTACCCCTTTCCTTCTAAGTCTTGGCAAATTGTACATAAATACAGACATTCATTTAAATGCTCTGACCTTTTCCTGGGTCGTCGGTACAAATGACCTTTTTTGACACAGAATGCTAGTCATTACAATCACTTGCTTTGCAATCAATCTTTTAAATCTTCATATCCTAGTAGACATCCCAATGTATTTGTAAACATACCAAAAGTCAATGTTTGCACCCTTCAGTTGCATGGATATATTGTTATGACCTTAATTAGTGTTCTATGTATAGTGTATTTTGTGCACCAGTGTTTTGTTCTCAAATCTCCCCAAAACTCTTTCCCTTGAGTAACAGATGACACTGTTTTAATAGCACCTTTATCTCTCCTCTTATTTCGCAGTATCATTTGTTTGAACTGATTTGATCACCTCTTATGTACTTTATCATTATCTCTCTCTACATCTTTTGCCCAATGCTCTTACTCTTTTTTTTCTCTCACTGTCCAGGTGTCCCACATAATTATTGGCAATATACTATACAGCAGGGCTATTCAATTAGTTTGGAATGGGGGCCGGTTGATGAAAATGATCCAAAGCAAGGGGCCGGGAAAAAGATGGCTTGAAATATGAGCAATCATATTTAAGAGCTTCAGATACAGTAAATACTACAACAGCATAGTGGAGTGCATATATTGTGTTTAATTCAATCAAACAACATAGCCCCAAGGCCTTTATAGATCTAAATGGCAAGTTCAGAACTCAGTAGGCCTACATGTTTCATTTGATTTCATTTAGGTGAAATGATCTAATCATTCACGCAGAGATGCAATCAATGACAGGAGTTGTCACTACAGTATAGTAGGTGGGTTCGAAACCCGAGCCCTTCGAAGTTTTCAGGCATTGTCTATCCCCTCTATCTCTCAATGTAACACCCTCTCTGGAATAAAGGCACTATGGCACAAAATAAAAAAATAAAAAAGAAATCTTAAAAAAAAAAGATTGATTACTTTTTAACATTATACTCAAAGGGCCAGTAAATATCACCCCTGGGGCCGGATTTGGCCCGCGGGCCACCAATTGAATAGCCCTGCTATACAGCATCTGTTCTCACCTTACGTAGCTGAGCTTGCAAAACGCTAACTATTCCCAAAGATCCTCTCCAAGCCAGACCTACATTCTTCACCTGCTAAAAGCCAAAAGAGTATCAGTTTGAAACATAATTGATTTTGATTTTGCTCTGTCTATCTCAGTGGATCCAGGAATGACCACAGAGGATTCCTTTGATGAGCGAGGCTGCCATTGTGACGTTACAGTGGAGGATCTATCAGCTCCTCTCAAGGCTGTCATCAGAGCTGTCAGGTGAGAGACTGCTTTACAGTTACAATTAACATTTAAGGCATCTTGGCTGATGCTCTCATCCAAAACATCTTTAATTCAACAAAATAATCCAAATATTTGAGGACTAATCAGGCAGCGAAGCAGATTCACTACTGTGGAAATACCCTCCGACAATTACAAATGCAAACTTGCATCCATATACTAATAGAGAGGCGAAGTCCCGCCCATCTACTTCCGACCCATGGGACCTTATTTCGGAAAAAGTATGTATTGAAGTCAATGGGGAGAGAAAACGTATCTTTCGATCCCGTTTGAATTGTGCCACGAATTACACATATGATGTTTGTCAATCTTAAAAAATACAGCGTCTCCAGCGCTTTCGAACGGCAATGCCGTGGTTGTCTCCTCCTGATTGGTGGAGTTGGCCCAATAGCCGTAGCGCCACTTTCCTGACGTCAGGAAAGTGTTCAAATCTGGATCAGTTTTTATCAGATCCGTTGCAGCCCCTTTTTTAGAGATTTGGGTATGGAGGAAAATAGAGAGGGTTGTGTTTTCTGACACTTGGTGAGTTCCCTGGAACACCGGGGACACATATTCATGTATAAAAGACGTACAAAAGTGCATTTTGCATGATAGGTCCCCTTTAAGTATGCTAAGCTATTTTGAATGTATATGCCAAAAATACAAGTTTGTATCAATGCATCCAGTCGCATTTTGAAGCATGCCAGCCCGGCATGCTTTTCTAGCTATTCTTGAATAATATAGGTCATCTTATTGATTAGTCCACACCTCTTTGAGGGTGTTTTTTTCCTAAGTTGTTTCCATTGATCCTGCAACCAGAGCAACAGCTCACTGAACCGCTTAACCATTGATCATTTCAGTGACCTGTGTGCACCTCTAATGATTGGCTATTTGGTATCATACACATAATATAATACTGTCTGTAGTTGAGCGCTTGTTAAATAATTGATTTATTGGCTACAGTCTTTCTTCATGGGCTGGTTATTATCTCTAGCTATTGATGGAAAAGTCCATGAATGATTAAGTGAGCAAGACATGAATCCAACACTGTTTGAAAATACCAGCAGCTAACAGAAGGATGCAATGCTGTAGTGTTAGGAGTCAATAAGCTATACGTATATGTTTTGTATTTTGGTTTAATACACCGAAACAAGCTACAGTTCATCATCATAGATACCATTTTTTGAAGAAGGCTCTTATCATGTTTTGTTGAGTAACAGATAATTGAACACAACACAGACCCCTGTCTTTCTTCCCTCCACTATACATGTAATTCTGTATGATGAAAAACTTTAATTCACTCCTGAAAGCAGAAGTTCACACGATCTTTGGTTCCCTCAAGCAAATCCCTTTCTCTGATTTTCCGCTCGTATCTACACGACCCCCTGCTGGGTTGGAGGATTTTCCTGGGAGGGGTTTCAAGCTGTTTTCTGTAGCAGACCCTGATCTCTTACACTGGCACCGGCACCCTGTGAGCAATGTTTTTCCAACTGGCGCCAACTGATTCTCTCACTTCATCGCTTCTTCTCACATTTTTCATATTTTTCACCTCTCAAGAAAGCAGAGTTTTCCTTTTAGAAATAACAGATTGGTTAGAAAAATTACTTTTAGTTCAAATGTGATGTCGTTGCTATCGTCTTCTGCAGGTTATTAAGCATTCAGATATCCTTATACATTTCAAATTCGGCCTTTATCATTGATATCACTTGTTTTACTGGATTATACTCCTTGTCTGATGCTTATAAGAAAACAGTGTGTAGCTATTCTGCTTTAAGACATGTCAGCAGGACTGTGTTAGAAATTGTTGAAAATGAAAGACATAATATCAGTATTTATTGCATTTTTTTCTCCTACTGATCCTCCTTCATCCATTTCATTAGTCTTTTAACATTAGTCTGTAAAAAAAATTCTATTTATTTTGAATCTCCCCAATTATATGAAATGTTTCCTCCCTTATTGCTCACCCTGATCACACTTATTATCTCTGTTTTAATGTTGTACCTCTCTATTTATATCTATTTAAATCACCCATTTACCATATCATTTAACCAACCACAAGTCCGCGCATAATTACTCGCTATATGTGAAATAAAATATATTTTAAATTGATCATATGGCCGGTTTTTCTATTATATTCTCAACACATATACAGATGCTGCCCATATGAACCACCAATCTGGCCAAGTTAAAAACTAGCAATACAAATGTACTTGCTGTTACTAGCTATACTGAACATTTATGTATTTTCAATTATCCTCAGTCATTTCACATGCTGTAATGACCTGCAGTCGTATCTTCAGCACTAGTTTGGTTGTTAATATAAGGTTGCTCTACTGGCCTATACATTATATTACATTTAGCTGATGCTTTTATCCAAAGTAACTTACTATAAAACTGTTCATAGTGTCTGTGTCAGGTATAACACAGAATGGCCCAATCAAAATTGGACTTAGAGTTATCAAACGATTTCCCTTGAAAAAAAATGTAAATCAGCATTTCAAACAAATAAAGGGAGAATTTTTCGCAATGTCCCACCCCCCCTAAACGCTTACATGTTTGGTGATAATATCCACTTAGTTATAACAGTGACTATTCTGGATTCTCATCAAATTTGCAGATTTGGAAAGATGTTACATGTTGACATTCTTTTCAGTTTTTCATTAATTGAAGTCTATCAAACCACCTTTATCTCCACCTCTGTTTCTCTTCCTCACACACACACACACACACACACACACACACACACACACACACACACACACACACACAACACACACACACACACACACACACACTCACACTCACACTCACACTCACACTCACACTCACACTCACACTCACACTCACACTCACACTCACACTCACACACACACACGGAACACCAGTACCACCCAGCAGCCTCCTCTCCGGGCAGCCGGAGCCCATGGCTTTCCCAGGGTGTCGGGTTGAGGGCTGGACCCCCCCCCTCCACCCCTGTCAGGACTGTTTTTACAGAGGGTCATCTGTCACCATGGTTTCCATTTATCCAGTGAAAAAAACAGGCAACTGGAGAAAAGCAGAAGTCGCCGGGGAATCCAAATGCAACGAGTGTTTGGATCCTTTTACCTGTATCAATATTATCCACCCAGCAGCGGCTCTGCTCACCAAACAAAGCAGATCGAAGATTAAGTTTCTAAGTTTGTCAGTTATGGATTTGACAAGCGAAGCAGGGAACTTTAGTGTCCCGTCAGACACTCATTGAGGTATTTGAGATTTCAATAATGTTTTCATTTTACACTCCAGAGAAAGATCAACAAGTGATATGTAACGAGGATCATTTCAAACCAGCTGCTACCATCTAGTGATCGGTTGGAGTTATTACGTCCTTATCTTTCAAGCTTTTTTTGACTTTATGTTACTAACTTCAGCATCCTTCTTCCTCCTTTTGCTCCCTGTGTGTGTAATGTATCTGTGTGTGTGTAGGATCATGAAATTCCACGTGGCAAAAAAGAAGTTTAAGGAGACATTGCGTCCGTACGATGTGAAAGACGTCATAGAGCAATACTCTGCCGGACACCTGGACATGCTCTGTCGCATCAAGAGCCTCCAGACTAGGTAAGCACTCGCACACACACACACACATACACACACACACACACACACACACACACACACACACACACACACACACACACACACACACACACACACACACACACACACACACACACACACACTTTCAGTCAACTCCACAAATCATCATTATCATTTGGACGTTTGTACCCATTTTTTTTTTTTACCTGAATTTCCTCTATCCTACTTCCAGCTATGTCTTCACCATCCACTGTGTGTGTGTACTGTATATGTACATACATATGTGTCCCCTCTCTCTCCCAGACTAGACACTGTAGTGGGGCCCCCTCCGAGGCCTTTCAGCAGCCGCGTCAAGACCTTGTCCTCTCCCTCCCTGCATTTATATTACAGCCAGGCCCGGAGGAAACAGTCTGCACCGGGGTTAGACACACCCCGTCCTGATCTGCCCGACAACTGCCTCCCCGCTAACATAACCAAAAATGTGATGATGTCGCACCTGGGTCAAGCAGCCTGCAATCACATGCTTTTGAACCTATATGGCAATTCAGTGCACCCTTATAAATGCACAGGGTGGCAATAGTCAAAGAAGCTTTTTTTAAATGTATTTTAGCTTGGATGCATACCTGTTTAACTGCCAAATTGAGATTACAAAGGCATACAATTGATATTATGTTAAGCCTACTTTACTCTGAGATAGGTGGGGTTTACACAAACTAAGAACTGATCAGTACATGGGAGGTTTATGTACACTATTTTACCAATTTGGCTGCTTTACCCAGGTCAGGTTGAAGAGGTCATCAAGAAGCTCACACAATGGATTATGGATAGTTTACCAATACAAAAAATGATCTTTAAAAGACCATAACTATTTAATTCAGATGTAAAAATGTTGGTAGAGCCTGGGCCTTATTCCTACCATAGTTTTCAACTAAGGAGGTGATCCTTTATCACACCATTTTATTTGATATATACAACATAATATATTAACTTATTTATGGCACCCTGGAAACTGATCCTGATCCTGATTTGAGCACCTTGAAAACCTCATCAAACTGCAACATGTTGTCAGCTAACATACTGTAGGTGCCTGTAGAAAGGAGACAAGCTATTGAATGCATGTAAAAACCCCAATCCAGATTTTTCCTAACTCATTAATCCTATTAAATACCTGATGAATTTAAATATGGCAGTGGTTTGTTTAAAATGCAGCTGTTTCACCTCAGTTCCTTTTTTGCAGCTTCAAGCCACATTGAGCCTTTCAGATATTGTATCAGAAGTCCATTATGACTTAACTTAAGAAAAGGCAAAGCTGGAAACAACGCATCAGCAGTACTGGATTGTGGCTTTTACATTCAATAACTTTGTTTTTTCTACAGAACGTTTGTTGGAGATGTGTTGTGTTGAATGAATAGCAGTGCCAGTGGCGTCAATTGTACTAATAACATAGTGCCTGTTTTCTGTATCCGATATTCTATGAACTCTGATTATTGGCGGCGGGTGTAGATACACATAGACCAGCTGAGTACTGCTATGTACATGTAGGCCTACTGTATCTCAGTAGCATTGTACTATAACAAATGGCTTCCGTTATATTTCCAAATGTACTCTAGGAATAGAAAACTGTAATGTGGCTAACAAGCACACTGAAGTGGAAAACATACCCGTTGATTTTTTTATGATTTTAATCATTATTTGCAGTGTTGATAGCGAGGTGTAGGGGAATATATTAGCTGGGGTTATAATCATGATGGCCAGTGTCCCAACTCTTGTCCTTACACGACATAAATATAGGGATGCTCCGATCAGGAATTTTGGGGTCGATCGCCGGAATCAGTATCGGCCGCGATCGCCGATCCGATCGAGTGGGTGGGGGCTATGGGGATCTTCCATTTAAAGTGATGTTTAAAACTCATTTTTATATTGCTTCAGTTTATAATCGTAACGGATCGAAAAGTTCAGATTCATTTTTCAATACATGATGTGCTTCCACAAACAACAACCAACATAATTATTACATTCAAATGAAGTACATTATTCAAGTTTACATTAACTTTGGATAATAACACGGGAGAAATGAGCGGAAGCGCTCTCTTTTCCTCTTTTCCTCTCTCTCTCCTCTCT